AGAAAGTTATACCTGGTGGAGAAGCAGCCAATCAATTTTGGACCCAGGAAGACCTGCGTTCTCCAAAGCTGCTTCAATTGATTGTGGCACAACACGAACAGCAAATCTAAAGACCTCTTTACCATTCATCTGGATGCAAGAGTAAGAGGAACCTTTTGGTGGAAAACCAATAATAGATCCATTTGTACCAAATGCATGATCAGTTTCTTTCTCTTTGATTGAAGCATTCAAGTGCCTAAATAAGAAAACAATCATTTAGTGACCCTTTAAAGATGAAAGCAGGGGAACTTCTCCTAAAGATTATGATAAATACCTTTGACCTTCACCATCACTATGCAAGTCAAAACCAAATAAGCCATCTTCTCCAATATCACAGGCCTACAAGAGTATGGATTTATATAAATTTTGAGAAACGGATGTAGCAACTTAGTGTTGCACACAATAACTTGATCACATCAATAAAATAAGAAACAAGGCCTCAAAAATTTGGGTTAAACAAGAAGAAGATACAAGGTCACACTTCTTCACTGAGGAAAAGCACTCATCAATCAATAGTGTAATGGGCATCTATTTTTTTTTTTTTTGTGAGAACGGCATCTACATTGTCTTTTAAGATATGAAGTATATCAAGAGTATATTATTGCAAATAAGCTTAGATTGGTTGAAGACCCCACCCAGTTATGGATTTGCAAAGATTCAAGAGAAGTCTCTGTTCTTTCGTTGCTTAGCCACTTTCAAATCGGCATCAAGATGAAAAAGGTCAAACAGGCAAATAAGGAGCGGCATTATTGAGCTTATACTGATTCTTGCCTTCTGCAATCCATCTTATTGCATATATGACTAGGGGCTTGGGACACACCCATTGACAGTGAGTATGTTGAATCATTTTAAGATGAGTGCTAGGTTGGGGAACTAGTTCCAAATTGACCACCTCAAACTTAATACCAGACCCAACTATACTGCAGACAATGGCATGAGAAATCGTTGGCTGACTGAGACCAACCCTGGAGAGGCACTCTCTAACCTATTTGTCTGACCTATAATATTCAACACATGGTCATCACGAACTGCTTACACCTACCAAACCATGGTTAACTGGATGAATTAAACTAAATAAGAGAGAAAAGGAAAAAAGAAAATGAGTGACATCAACCCCACCAACCAACGCCTGATCTCACTGGCGTAAAATATGTAGGCACACACAGCAGCCAACTTGAAAGTTTGGCGCAACCAGCGCAAAGCACTGCCCTTATCCCCTTCTCTTTCTGCAAACAAAATAAAATTGTTTCTTACTCCACCATCGGCATTCTCTCCCCACATTTGTCACGCTCCTATCACTGCCACCAACCCCTCCCATAATTCTTGGCAAGTTCAAGCTGTTCTGCACCTCCTTGACTCTTCAACCATTTTTTAGAACGGTACCATTTTTTTTTTGGTAATCGACTTACTACCAGTTGAGGTTTGGAAAATAACAGATCAAATGATCTTATAATCCAGCATCACAATTTCAGGAATTCCCTCTGCCCAATCACCCTCTTTTAGAACTTGTATTCTCTTTGATACAAATAGAAGAAGTGTAAGTAAAAAGGTAGACTTGAGGTTTGCATAAATGAAACTTTGTATTGTTGAGCGTTGCAGAAAGCCAGAAATGGATTTTAAGATTTAATAGAGAAACAGGGAACTACTTTGTTGCGAGAAGTTTGGAGGGGGAAGGATAGCACATACAGCCGCCCAAGGTGGCCACTATGCTTGAAAGGGGAGCAGCAATAGGGAGTCACTTCATTGGTCATAGCTATAGGTACAATATGGATGGGTTCTTTGGAGGAATTTCAGTTGCAATTTGAAGGCAGTTGATTATCTTATGATTACTCTAAAAGTATAATGTATGACACGAAGGAAGAGTAATTTCAACTGCTTAGTGCATAGCACCTACAACTCCCAAAATACGAAAGCAAAACAAAGAAAACCAACTTCAACATATGAAAGAAAAAGCTCTACACATGTATCGTGTCAGAGTCCAGATGGTTACTTTTGTCGCCTTATACTTAGAAGTTCACCACTTTTCCAAATACGTGGTCTGATATTAGTTATCAATTTCAAACTTTAGACAAGGTGGCCACTTTCGAAGTTCAAACCATGGGTCTAATTTTGAAACTTGCAAATTTTGATGAAGTAAAATGTTTCATTAAAGGCATAAAGAAGATGCAGAAAAAGAACAAAGTGAAAAGCCTTGGTTAACTCCCAATACAAAAACCTATAAAGCTGGGAGTTGACCAAAACCAAGAACCAAAAGTATGACTTTTAAGACATAGTAAGAGAGCTAATGAAATCTATGAGGGGAATAATATCGTTTACAGGGGAAGAAAGGTTACTCCAACTAAACAGGTTCATCGGACACTTAGATTTCAACAGGATAGTGGAAGTTGAGATGCCATCAAAACATCTGGTGTTCCTCTCTGTCCAAATAAAAGGCCACAAAAGTGGCTATTTGCATAAATCATCCTTCAAACTTCATATACTTTGGCCAAAAAGCTGATGAGGCTGATTATACATATCCAGTGAACATCACCAACCCAACCCCAACCCTGACGGAGAAATGAAGGACCTTACGAACTTCCATCAATTTAGAATTCAAGAAGAGTACAGAAGAATCTAGAGGTACTTAAACCAGTTAAGCTGACTAATCCCTCTTTTGACTTATTGTAAAGAATCTTTAGGATTCATTGGAAAAACTGCAATAACTAAATAACGTATTACTGATTGATTCGTCCATTCTCCTTTATCATACCTGCATCACTACAGCACCAGCAGCATCACC